GCAATGGCCATGTCATGAGCGGACTGTTACCTAGGACAGAATCAAAATATGTTGAAGAATTCTTGACTTGGCTGCTCGGCTCTCACGAACCGTTCTTCAAGACCTCTTCATCTGATGTTGCTGGGATAGCCATTTGTCTATCCCAGCTGGGGATTGACATTATCGATGTCCAATCGGTCGAGTCATTAGAAGCAAGTCAGCGCCCATGCACAGTCATTCACTCAGCGCAACCATTTATCCACTCAATAACAACTCCGGAAGGCACAAGAGTCATTGTGGAGAGAGATGCCTCAATCACAGTTCCTCTAAAGCATCCGGAAGAGGCTGTGAGCGTTTTCCCCATTGGACATGACGCTCGAAGCCGCTGCAGAATCGCTTGGAAAGAGGGGAGGAAAGCGGCAAAGGCCATTCGAATATCTGTTCGAGGAGCACGAACCAATAGCAACATGTACCAGGAATACTACCAGTCTGCCAGACGCCGACGCCCCTGGGAGGTCTCAGGCAGCTTGGCCGCCCGACTAGAAGGAGCCAACCTTGTCTATGTCCTAATAGACTCTGGAACACCTGCTGGAAGAGCTTCTGATGAGCTTTACCGCCTAGCGTTAGATTTCGGGTTCCATTCGAATCAAGAAATCGTAACGGGGCTTCAAAACTGCCTTGGAAACACCTTCACGAGCGTTCTATCGTGGCTTTCAACTACCACGAGCTCAGACGAGTTTCACATCGGATCAGACATTTCCGATGCGGAGATGACTGACACACAGAAGATAGACGCATTCTGCATCTTTCAGTCATTCATTATGGGATACTACTATGACATCTTTGGGAGACTGGTAGACACCTCCTCATTGGCATCCCAAACAGTGGAAGGCTCCTGGGGTTTTCGATCAGCCGACTTTTTGAGGTACATGCGCTCTCATTCACTACGTACAATGCCCCCAGATTCGCCACGTGCGCGATCGTTTGGACAGGCGAGGCTTCTTCCTCTACTTTCCATGCTCTTTGTGGGTGGACACGCCACTGGCTACGATCCAGAGAAGGCAGAGGAAAGGTTTAGAAACGTAGACTGTTTGGGCATCATTGGGAAGCGCACTTTGATTACCAACAGTCTACTAGGCAAATGTTCTTCTCCGCAACAAATTGGTTGTTTTACCCTTCTCGATGTTGACGTTGGCGGCATACCAAGAGACTTCAACGGATTAATCAAGCCGGGAGTCTTGCCCTCCGAGGTTCCCCTAGTGGATTGTCTTGACGATGGGTATGAGGAGTTTGATCTCTCTGAATCATCTCCATCGGATGATGTCACCTTCCATATCGAGGCGGATTGGGAAGCAAATCCAGACACGGTGTTGCTCTGTGTCAGATATAGAGGCCGTCGACTTGCAGCAATCTCCCCTATCCCCGCAGACTATCTTTTCTGCAACGCTCATGTACCGCCAGAGGGTGGACCTCGACAAAGTGCGCACAGGAACAGGCTCTATCAGGGCGTGGAGGCTGATATATCGGCCCTCTTGCGAGATCCCCCAGTTCTGCCATACTCGTACCGCCCTGAAGTCCCCGTCCTTTTTCAGGCGCTAAACCGCCCCGGCCTACGCTACGCTGCTACTGCGTTGTACGGGAGAAGATCGGATATCAAGGTGGCAACAGATTGCGTCGAGGGGGCTAGAAATGCAGCAATTGAGGCGTTGAGGCCTGCTGAGGTTGGGTTTATAATTGTTGGCGGCTTAACGGGAACGGCAATAGGAGATGCCTTGATACAGAGAGCTGATGTCCAGAACCTGCTTTATGAGATCTATTAAAGTTATTAATTAATAGTTATATCTAGATAGTAGCTAGCTAATGCTATATAAAGATATTATATTAATTAAGTATTTTAAATTTTAAATAGATAGATTTCTATTTTATTATTATATATAATAATTTAACTTTTATATATTATAAAATATTTTATTAATTTTTTATAAAAATATTTACTTTTTAATATTTATAAAGTAATTAATATTATAAATTAAATATAATAAAAAAAGTAATTTTTAAAATGATAATTAATTTATAATTAATTATATAAAGCTTATTATTTATTTTGAAATAAAAAGTAAATTACTTTTATTTATATAAAATAGCTTATTAATTATTATAAGTAATTAGTAATAAAGCTAGATAAGTATAATAATATTATATTAATTAAAGCTTAAAAAAGTAAAATTTTAATTTAAAGAGTTTTTATAATAAAGTTAAAGGGGTTATAGTATTATATAAAGGGCTAATTAGCCTTATTTTTAAGCTATTACTATAATTATTTTTTTTCCTTTTAGTAGCTATTTTAAGTTAAGTATTATTATAATTAAATTATATATATAATAGTTAAGTCTAACTATATTAAATTAAGCTATATTTAGGTTTATTATTAATAAATTATATAAAGTATAATTAAGTATTATTAAAGTATTATATCTCTTAATAGTAAATTTAATATATATAAGGCTTAATTAATATAAAGAAGTATTATTAATAATTAATAAGCTAGATTCTATTTATTACTAAATAAATATATTTATATACTTAAGCAACTTATAGTTAAGTAAGTTAGGCTTATAGTAAGTTATAAAATAAATTATAAGTTAAATTATATAGCTTATAATAGCGCTTTTTTAATATATTATAAGTTATTTATTAATTAATAAAAACTTATAAAGGTATATATAATATAAGTACTTTTTAAGGTTAGGTTATAATATAATCTCTTTTTTTTTATTAGTTTTATCTTTAAGACTTATATATTTATTTTCTTTCTTTTATATTATTTTTACTATAATAATTATATTTTATAATTTATTAAATTAGTAAAAAATAGTTTTTAATAATTTAATAAAAGGATTATTTAATAATATTATTATTTTAAAAGTTATTATATTAATATTTAATATAATAATACTTTTTAAGTTTTAAATATATAAAAGTTTTATAAATATTTAATTATAAATTTTAATATAATTAATTAATTTTATTATTAAATAAATACTTTTTAAAATAGTAATTTAATTTATAACTAAATATTTAATATATATTATTATATTACTTAAAAGTAAAGCTATTATAATTATATTAAATATAATAGCATTAATTTTAAAGATTTTAGTAAATATACTTAAAATATATAATTAGGCTTTTATAAAAAAATAAAGCTTTTATTTTTATAAGAAATTTTCTACAATTAAAAAATAAAAAGTAAACTTAAACTTAAAGGAATAATATTAAGACTATTAAAAAAAAGCCTATTAACTTTTTATTTTATTATATTTAAAAAAAAGTATTTAAAATAAAGTATAACTATAATTAAATACTAGTATTACTTTAGTTAGTTTTTAAGCTAATATTTATTAATATAACTTTTAATATATAATATTACCTTTCTTAAAATTTAATTATTATTATAAAATATATTAGCTTTTTTATAATATAGCTACTATTTATTAATATTAAAGAAATACTATAATCTTCTTTAAGCAATTTTAATAATAAGGCATTTTAAAGGACTTACTTAATTTTTATACTTTAATATTATTATATAATCTAATTGGTTAATATAGCCTATTAATAGCTATACTAAAAGGTTTATTATTACCTTAATTAAAGGAAGTAGCCTATAATAATAGCTAATATTATAATAAGTATATTAAAAATTTACCTTAATTATATATTAGCTAGCTGCTAGATATTATAGCCTTAATAGCTATATTATATATAAAAGATCTTACTTTATATTTTTACTTAATTAAATACTATAACTTAATTTAAATATAAAATTAAGAAGTTATAAAAGTATTAATTAAACTAAAATTAATAAATATTAAAAATAGTATTTTAAAATTATATTATTTTAAAATTTAATATTAACTTTATATTATATTACTTTAATATAAAAGACTTAAWTATATATATATATTTATTTACTATTAAGTAAAACTTAAGTTATTAATTATTAATAATACTTTTTTACTTTAATAAGTTTTATATATATTATTAACTATTAAAAGATATAATACTTAAATATACTTAATATAATACTTTATATAATCTGTAAATATAAACCTAATATAGATTAAGTTTACCTATTTAGAAACCCTAACTATTACACTAGAATGCGTTTCTTTATAACTGCAGATAACACTGTTTACAGCTTTGAAAGCGGTAAAAATGCAGACATCCGAGCTAGCAACATGATCCGGGAATTTGAGTTTCCTAAGCAATGAAACCCAGTCTGTCATTACATTCTCGCAATTCCTGGTAAAGACGATTCTTGGAATGTGATCGGCCAGCCGGTAACAGGGTAGGCACCAGTGGAGCGACTGGACCCTTTGGAGTGTAGACGTGTTAGAACGAAGGAAAGTTGTGTTTTTTGAATACGCAAAAACAGGAGGTCAAGATTAGAGCAAAATATTGAACGGAGCAGTTGTTGGCTGATGGAAGCATGCGTTTCCACTGGCAGAGTCTTAAGTCCGGGAGGGTACTTCGGACAACTGTGCTGGCTGCGGCAATAAGCGGTTGGAGAGCCAGTGCGTCGTCTAGAGAACGCATACGCAATCAGTATCTTACCAGCAAGTCTCCATTACCGACAGAGAGTTGCCACGCTGGTGGACGACAAGCTCTTATCTACACGTGGTGTCCGCTGGGAACTCTCAGAATCAGTATGACTGCTTCTGAGTGCTGAGTGGAGTTTAACGACGCGATTATTCCCCACTACTGAGAAACTAGTAGAAGCTAGCGTGACAAGAGCGCGAGAACCAACTGCCCGAAAACAATAACAAGACAGGACCGAGGGCCAACAATTCAGTTTTCCAAAGTCTAAGCGATATGAAGAAACTTGTCTTCTATTCGATTATCTACAATCAAGTAGAAACCAATCTCTTCTAACGCTCTAAAATCTATCCCAATGTATTTCTGCGTGATTGTCTCCATAAGAGATATTATCAAGAGAATAATCTCGAGATAGCGATAGCTCACTGAAGATGGCAGTATGCATACTTAACACCAGTGAGGCAAAAGTTAGGGACGTTCATGGGCTTGGAAGTAAATACCTCACAAGAACCACCACTGTTTGATGTGTTAGCTTGATGTAATAAAGCTGGCCATTAAATTGCAGAGATTCCAACCTTGCGAGACCTAGTGCACAATAGCAGTCCTTATCAGTCTTGGCGGAAGCAACTGCTGACTTAAGTCCGCTTCTATTAATCAAAGCCTTCTTCCCGTAAGGGTAGCAGCCATTCTTGCAATTGCCTTTGAGGTTGAAGCCATCGCAAACTTTCATGTCGCAGCACGCCGCGGCAGCCATGTTAGCTCCGAGTCCGAGAGTGAGGAGGGTAGTGGCAACAGCGGTCAACTTCATGTTGTCTGTTTGAAGTGGAAATTTGGATTGAGAAGTTCGAACTGAGGAGAGATGCTCGAACGAATGAGTCAAGTACTGCGACGATGAGCCTCCTATTTATACTTCGTCTGGTATCATCCAACCTTTTGGCACAAGGACATTCAATCATTGACCAAGTTTTACGATATCCCAGTAACCTTAGCTACATCATGCAACACGCCGGGGTGCTTCCCTGTCAACATGCCTTGAACAACCAACCCACAGTACCAGGTGACATTCAAGTTCCTTCTTTATGTCCGAGGGCTCAGCCGGCTAACTGGGTTCGGCGGACAGCCGACGCGTCCGTCTCGCAAACGCCCCACTTCGCCTTCTTGTTAAAACGAGGCCAGCTATCCCTAAGTATATCCCATATTAATCCTCATTCGCTATCTTGAATCCAAATCGCTGGCTTTCTGTTAGAGAAATCTGGACTCCCCGCCTCTTATTCCTCCATCTTTTTATCTATTTACTATTGCTTCCAAAAACCTATCCTTCGTGACTTCGTGCTAAGGCTCTGTTGGTGCTTATGCATCAAGCTGCGCGACCGTGATACCTACAGTCTCCCCCTAGTGCTCAGCTTTGGCAATTTAGGTCTCGATCCTGAAATTTCCTAATGATCTGAGTCAGTTCAATGAATTAGATTGCCTTGGCAGCTGCGTTATGCTTGTTCAGTAGCTTTTGGGGGTCGTTATGTCGTCCTAGTTCCTGGTCCCGGAGTTGGTGGTGCCGACGGCAAAGCAAGAGGACTGAGGGTAGGCTAACGGCTGGCCGGAGGAATAGAGTGCCGACCTGCATAGATAGATGATGGAGTATTCCTCTCCAATTAAAACCTTCCACACCACCACTGTAGCCTACGGAATGTCTCTCTGACAAGTGCTTCTGGCACCACAACCCGAGGCTTTTCTCGCATGCCAGATGGGTGGTTGCGTGACAATATTACCCTGCTCTACGCGTTAGGTAAGGATACAAGAGAGTAATCCAATAAGATACCATCTATCTAACAGTACAGTAATGCGGCCTAGTAGGCTAAGGCCAGTCGCTAAAAAAAAGAAAAGGGGTATGTCAGTAAGCTACCAGATATGCCTCGCCAGGCCAGGAGAAAGGTCTTTCTATAGTAAGCCTAACCCTAGAAATAGGGCATTTAATTGGGTTGGGTATTAGCACTCTATTGGCTCTCACTTTTTGAATTAAAACAAAGCCATCACACCTTCTGCTAATCCATCACTCTTAACTGCCTAATTAAGTAACCTCCAACTTTAGCTTATTAGTGCTATACTTTTCTTTTACCCTGACCAGTATATCCAGGCAAGAGCTTCAGGGTTGCAGGCAGCTGCAAATTCAGGGCCCATAAGATCGAGTATCCCATGGGGTAAAGGCGGGGAATAGCACCTCTAGGAGGGAGCTTTTACAGGTAAAGAAGGTAATAAAAATAGCATAGATAATTATAAGAAAATAGCAGAGGCGGCTTTTCTGCTTTAAGCTATTAGCCAGGACTCCAGAGCGTCACAGATATAGATATACTAAACCTAAAATAATAGATAATCTAACACCATATAATATATATATATGGCCCGTTTGTCCTCTGTAATGCGGGGCTCGCATACGCCCCGCTCCCTCTTCCCTCTAGCGCTATGCTTCCTTCGATGACGCGGCTTCCCGCCCAAGAGCTGTTATGGCGGGAAGCCCCAAGTCCATCAAAATTAGCGCAGGAACTCACGCACTAAAGTCAGGGCCAGTGGCGCTATTGCACTGATAGCGAATTAAGCTTTTGAATTAAGCCCTTTAAGAGCAGCTCTTGTGTACGGGGGGGAATGGCTGAAAGTCCTTGGACGTCCCACTGTTCTTGGCCTCGGTGTAGCGTCATACGTTGAAAAAGCAGCAGCATCAGCCCTTATTTACCGACAAGGGTAATGCTCACAGGGATAAGTGTCTTAGCCGAGGTTGTACATTTTACTCTAAACTAGTGTTTTAAGAGACGTTGAACTGTAATCTTGAAAAGTTTTGTTATGCTTTTAGTGGGTATGTGAAGCTGCCGCTATAGATCAATGTTTCATGGGGGAAAACCAAGGCTGAGCTTTAGAGTTCTGTAGCTCTACTGTGCGTTGACCTGCAGCTCGTATTAATGGCCTGTTAGTTGAAATTGTGGAACAGTGAGGCAAGGATGATAGGTCCATTCTCCCGGACCTCTCCGGTGTTTTAACCATGTCATAGTTGGCTTACAGAGGTACATTTCAAAAGCCTTTGCCCAAGATGACTTATGCTATAATTGCTAATCCCTGCTAGGTATATATATATACAAGCAATAAGAGAGGTATAGAGAGACTGTCCTGTAGGAGCCCTATAATTATAGGGGACTTAGGGTAGTTTTATTAATATACTGCTAGCTATAAGTGCTATAATTTAATTATAATTAGCAATAAATCTTTTATTTAATATATCTTTAATACCTTATTAAAGATAGGTTTAGTATTTATAATTATATTTAATAAAGACTTTAAAAACCTACTTTTATAGATAGTAATAAAAGGAATTAATATATAAATCTTAAGGTCTTTAAAACCTTTAAAAGAAACTCTATACTATATATATTTATAGCTTTCTTTAGCGCCTTTTAAAAAAGTTATATAATAATATATAAATAAGTAAATAATATAATAGCTCTTTTTTTGTATAAGCTAGTTACTTTTATATTAATCTATATTGCCTAAAAGGTCTAAAACTAAAAGGTAATAAAAATTATTATATATAATAATAAGCTATTATTAAAAATAAAATTTTATTTAATAAATACTTTATTTTATAAATAGCTATATAAAACCAAGCTTAATTTAATATAATTAATTTTAATTATTATAATAAAAAATTAAACTATTATTTAACTTTATTTAATTTATAAAAATATTATTAAAATTTATTTATTTAATTTATCTTTTAATTATTAATAATACTTTATAATATTTTATAATATTAATAATAATACTTTAAGAATTATTATATATATACTTTAATATTTATATTAATTATTACTTTTAATATTATTACTTTTAAAAGCTAGTTATAAATTACTTAAAAGTAATAAGTTTTTTTTTTATAAAAAAGAAATTTATTATAAAATTTATAATTAAATTATTAAAGATTTATTATAAAATTAATAAAAGTTATAATAATTTTTATTTAGCTTTTTATTAAATATTAATTTTTCTATATATATTATAGTTTTTAATAAACCTTTTATATATTTATTTAAAATAAAGTTAATATTATTTTTTTTATATTTAAGTTAAAGTAATAATATATTTTAAGTATTTTATTATATTAAAGTTATATTTAAGCTATATAAATTAAGTCTGTAATTTAATTTTAAAATTCTTTTTAATATTTTTAAAATTATTTTATTTTAATATTTAATTTTAATTTTAATAATATAACTTTTTTAATATATTTATTTTATATTTAATAACTTAAATTTATAATTTTAAATAAATAAAAAAGTAATTAATTTATTATTAAATAATAGCTTTTTTTTATTTATATTAATAATATATTAATATTTAGCTAACCTATATAATTATAAATTAATTATATATTATATAATATAATTAATTTTATTATTAATTACTATATATATTAATAGTCTTTAACTATAAGCTCTTAAGTTTGTATAAAACTTAATATATTTTCCTTTTAATAAAATACTATAATTACCTC